TTTCTGTCTTTATGTTGACATCAACATGGAAACATGCAGACACAGACACACAACAAACTGTGAACCAAAGTCTTGATTTCCTTCTCTCTGTTTCTCTCTCTGTCCCTCTGTGCTCTCTGAGGCATCGCAGTTGCCATGACAACCAAGGCCTTTCTTGTTTTAAAGATACTCACTATGGTGACCAAGGCATTGTTGTACAGTCAGCAGGTCTGTGAGGGGAAAGGTTTTTACACAAACAAACACACACACACACTCACAAGTGTGCTAATGCAGCACCACTACAGGCACATCCACACAGAACTACCCTCACAAACCCTGGTTAAAGGATGATGCACATTGAGACTCACACACTGAGCTGAATCAAACTGAGTGAAGGCTCAAGGTGCCACTTCATGATGAATGACTTAAGTTCTTCCTGAGGTAGTTACAGTGTGAACCTGCAGTGAGGAGATAACAGCAGCTTTTATGAAGAAGTAGATTATTCACAGTGTCGAGAGGAACTCTGTCTTTGATGTTAAACACAGAATCCAAAAAAAGTCACATATCAATTTTGTTTTTAATGAAATTCTCAAACTACTACACTTCCCACAATCCATGTGACTTGATTGTGTGATAACCTTTGACCCTCAGGCACCAGCCTTGTACCTGTAGCTGAATCCCAGCTGTGCCAACGTCTGACACAAAAGTGCAACCAGGAGCGGACAACTGTGTTGGTGGTCTGTACTGTGCAGCAGGAAACCACTGGGTTTTAACATTTGACACAACATTCTGCCTTGTGTTTATTTTTATACATTATTACTATTATTTGGTATTTCACTAGGAGAAAAATAATATTCCTCGTTGCTAAGCAACATCCTCCTACATCCTTGTCTGATGCTGTTAGATTAAAGCTGCTTGGTCAGAGGAACAGACGAACACACTGATATATAGTTGCCTTCTTCATTTGTGTTTATGAAGAAAATCAAGACACAGAGCTACAGTATTCAGTATTTGTTTGTGTGTGTGTGTGTGTGTGCGGCCACCTGATGAATGTGAGTTTGGTTTCCGACTCTTAGTCAAGAAGACTCCAGGAAGTTGTCTTCTTACACACATTTCATTTATGTGTTTGACAGGGACAACGCTCATTAATCAACAGCAAAATGACTGTAAATGAGCGAGTGTTAACTCAACAGGCTACTTTTCCTCATTTTCATCATACATGCACAGTTCCATCAATCTCTAGGGTCCACCAGCTAAATCGCCTGTTGTATCTACAAGCTCCTCCTTCATCATTAATATAAGAAAATAAGTGATGGAGCAGCTTTAATATTTCTCAAGGATTCAAATTATTGGGGAATGTTTGTCTCATGAAAGTATCTTGAGCAAAAGACTCTGCTGTGTATTTACCACAGCATCAAACTGCTCAACATATAATGTAGATGGAATATGTTATACATGAAAAATAGAAATGAGTGTGAAATCAGTTTCCCACAAAGCAGCACTGTCGGTTGAATCTGTTATTAAATGACCTGTAATTTTCCAGGTAACACAAACGGAGTGATGTCACTGAAAAGCTACAGTAATGACCGACTTTCCATTTAGGATTAAGTTACAAGATTTTATTTCTCAAATAAAGACTCCACACAGAGGATCATGTCCACAGCTTAGAGGCAGATATGAATAAAGATGGGTTTGTTTGGGAGGACAACACCCCCTACTGGTTTAATTGATTCATCATGTGAGCGTTTAGCAGCCCTCTGATTTCTGCCACTTTCAAGATGTCAAGAATTACAGACACAAACTTCACGATCTCCCTTCTCTCAAAACAAGTTTATACAAAGTGTTATCACGGAGCTGTTTGTTGTCGACTGGCACATGGGGGCTGCAGGCAGGCAGGGACCTGCGGCAGATGAGGGATTGGACATTCCACCTGGAGAATGCAAGGAGAAATCACACTGGCAGCAGATTAGCATCAGGCTGCCAGTCGTCTGGTATGCAACACGTGTCTCAGGCTGGGAAACAAATGCGAAGCACAGCAGGAACCGTGGGGAGGTTTCAGGGAGGGTCAGGGAGTGACGGATGCAGGATTTTAAAGGACAATACTAGCACTGAATAATGAATGAGAAGAGAGGAGCATCACTTTTAAAGGACAAATGAAGTTATTGAATGAAAGTGATATAAATTGCTTTAAGAAACACAATTTGGTAAATGAGTATCTTTAGCTTGTCTAACCAGCAGCTGGTGAATGTAATCAGGGTGGTCTGTACTGTGCAGCAGTGGTTCTCCTTAACTGACCCAGACTGGACCACAGACCCTCATCTGACAAGGTCTTTGCTTTTCCATACTTTATGACAGCATGTGCATTAAATTCAAAATAGTCAAATGTTCTGCCAGTGTTTTACATATGGATAAAAATATAGTGCAAATAAATATTTCTCCTTTTTATCCCCCACAACCACTCAAGGAGAATCTCTACTTGTCTTTGTTCACAATCATCAGACAAATATGAGTAAATAATGATTGTTACGTTCTTCTCGAATGGTTGTTTTTCTCTGTAAGTTGTCTCTGTGATGCACCAGCGACCTGTGACCCCCACCTCTCCCACAAGGCCAGCTCAGATTGGCTCCAGCTGTCCCCCCCACCCATGATCCTTACAGGGTAATGGCTGCATGGATGGATGTTGTCCCATGAACTTAGTGTTGAGACATCTGTTTTTTGACGTAGGTTTTACCCGGAATTCATCTAAAATCAAGAACAGATACGTGCAGATGCTCTCTGACGAAATGTTGAATACTTGCAGGCTGATTTAGGAACAGTGTTACTGTTAAAGTTTACAGTACTCTTTATTTTACATATGTGATCAATCAAGATCAATAGCTGGAAGTTTATATGAGTTCTGAAATCGCACACACCACTGTGTACACGCTGCTCGGAAATTTCATAAAGTTGCACTTGTAAATATTTTCATATTAACAATGACTCTTGTGTACTTGGCTCTACAGCAGCCCTCTCTAGCATCGTTTATTGTCTTGTTGTTGTGGCACACAACTTTACTGTTTTGGTTCACTCTTCAGTCATTCACAAACATCATCGTTTCCAGCAGGCAGCAATTTTCAGAAAATAAAAGCCCTTTTAAACCCCTTGTACAATACCTGCAGAGAAACAAGTGTCAGGCAGACAAAGTAAGTGACTATAGCTGGAAAACACTTTCAGCTGCTTCAGAGCCTGACATTTCCCTCAGGACACAAGGAAAAGGAGTGAACGTACCCAAGTTTCAATTCATGCAGGTTCATAATAAAAGTTTAAACGTCTATTATATCAATAAATACCATCAGGTCCAAGAAATTTTTGGTCTGCTTTTTCAAAAATAACCAATATAAAATATTCTGAGGAATATCTGAGTGATGACGCCATTGTTTGAAAAGTAATAAAGCGCAAGGGTGTGCGCAGTGACACATTCAAGACTGAATGTGTTTCACATTAGCTCTGTTAACATTAGGGCTTAACACAATTCATTTGAAAGCTTGACGGGAAGAGGGCAGTGGATAAAAGTCTGTGGCGGCGTCCAGCGGGTTTCCCTCTCTGTGGCCTCGTGTTGCCAGTCGCCTTTTAACAGGCCGAGCTCCGGGCCAAGAGGTATAAAATATGGTAGTAATCCAAGATGAAGGGATTTTGGGATTATCACTACATTTTCTCAAAGTTGCGTGTTGCAGACTGGATTTTTTAAAAAGGTAGAGCAAGAGCCAGGACGTCTCCTGAGGTGACCATAAATGGAGAAAAACCTTCTGCGGGTGACTGGTAGAAAGTGGAATGCGCAGCCGCAGGTGTAATAAAAGTTTTAATAACAGAAATCTCCATTTTTTCGGACAAAGGAAGTAAAGTACAGAAAACAAACTAATCTCAATACTAATAAATTACAGAAACACATGAGATGCATCACACTTCTCACAAATAAGCAGCCAGACGTTAAGATCACATGACGACCGAATGTACACACCTGAGGGACACAGAGAGGGGAGGGGCTCGGTTTTCATGCCACATTTACACCAATATACAGAACATCTATACACTTAGAGTATCACACGATATCGCCCACCATTCAGCGGAGAGGGAGGGACACAGTGGACTGAAAGATCGGCAAATAAACCCGTGCAATGACATTAATATTCACGTTTCATTTACAAATACCATATTTAAAGAGGACTTGATTTCCTTGCAGTATTAGCTGTATTGATGGCAAGTCTCCGAGGCTGCATATATTCAGGCTTCGCATCAGTTCAACACACCCAAAGTCGAGCCAGTGACTCAACCATGTCGTAACGAAGAGGGAAAAAAAACGACAGCGTATCGTGTTATCTTCAAATAATATGAAAGACATGGTGAAGTGATGCAACACTTTTCAGTTTTGTGAAAGGAGCAGCGACTGTGCACACACAGCAAAAGAATGTTAATCTGTGACATGAACAGCAGCTGTCAAGAGAGACGTTTATAAGTTGGGAGATTTTGGGCGAGGAAGGCTGAAGCTAGGGCTGTGACTGGCTGAGAAAGCTGTCAATCAAACAAGCAACATTAAAATACACTTCTCTCTAAGCCTTCTTATCTTCATAACATAAACAATATCTCTAATTCTAATTAGATGCTGGAACCATAAAAGAAAAATAAACCAGGGCTGGATTGACCAGCTGGGGGGGCTCTGGGCCCCAAGTACCCCTTCTCTCTGTGATTGACACCGTGCTGGTTGTTATATGCAAACGTTTGGATGTTACAGGAACGAATCAACACAAATGGAAAGGAAGCACTTCCGTCTCTTCGTCATTCGCTGCTCATTTCACAAAACCTGTCCCAGTACTACCACTCTACAGTCGGTTCCTGCAGAGCACTGCTCAACTTGAGGTAGTTACTAGTAAACTTTGCAGCTCAGTTCAAATTGAGTCAAATCAACGAATGCATCAGGTGTGTGAAGCTACGACAAAGCAGCCGAGTGAGAGACTTTGTTACCAAATGTTAAAAAACCCAAACAACAAGCAAATCAACATCTTGTGAGATATTAAATCATCTGACATCTGGTCACTGATTATGATCTGACCTAACCTATGAACACACGTATATATATATATATATTTAAATGTATATATATGCACATGAACATATGTACTGTATATAGATGTAGTTGGCAGCAACTACATCCTAAACTGCATTTTAAACCCAAAGTGCACTAAAACTGAGAGAAGAGACATCAGAGTTTATCCTTCATCGTGACAGACATACTGCTGATTCAACTGTGTGGTTTGATTTCTCTTGATTTTCATTCAGAACCCGTCGCTGCCCCCGTGTGGCCGGACAGCCCACCTCACGTCTTTAAAGGTTACAGACACAGTGATCAGAGTCAGCTCATCATGTGATGTCACAGCCGTTATTGCATGGCACATAAGGGACAGTGAATCCTCATGGTTAAGTTTATGGCTTATCACATCGCAGTATAACACACTAAGTGGTGGGTATCTTCACAACAAAAACAATATGATTCAGACTGACAGGGCGTCTCACGACAAAATGCTAATTTGGTCCATTTTGACACAGTGCCAAAGGCGCTTGCAAAAAGTGCTCAGTGACAAGACACTGGATTATCCGCAGATCACTTTTACTTTTCCAAACAATCACTGGACGCAGATTTATAACAAACTATGAGACAACACTCAAAACAACAGGTTTGGCAAACTGAAATGGCAAAAAAAAGAAGCACAGACTTCCTGGTGTTTGAAGGTGACTGATTGTTTGCTGACTACGCTCTGTGTTCAAAGCATAGACCGTATATAAAGATGGACGACATGACAACTCCCCAAATGCGAAGCCAAAACATCTCGATCACCCCCTGGTGGCTGGCTGCAGTATAGGTCATAAGCCCTAACAAAAATCTGTAAGTGCATCTCAAGGAAATTTTAATCTTTAATTAGTAATTATATGCTACGAAAACAGGAAGGAAAACCATGATTGACAGCTGAGACTGACTCGTAATTGGCTGAGCATAGGTATGGGCGGGACTTTGATATTATGGCTCCGCTCTAGGATCACTACTGTGGCTCCAAATGACTCTATCCAGGGACACGTCGTTCATCTATATTAAAGGTCTATAATTCAAATAAAAAACACGGAGCAAACGTGTAAGAAATGGATTAAATGGTCGCTAATGTGAGCTACACATATTTGCTTGTTTGTTTGCCTAGCTTACTGCTAACAGTCGTAATGTTACTTCAACGGTGAAGAAGCATCTCACACTACATTATTTTAGTTTTCACATTACGAAGAGCATTCATGACACATACTGGCGAGTCCTCGTGTTATAAGTGAAACATGTATTTGGTTACAGTGCTGTGCGATTATGAAAAGCTAAACTTGTGTTGCAACAGCAGCTAGCAACTTGAGTTAGCAACGAGACAAACAACTGTAGTTCCACACACTGACGATAATGATCGGATTATTTTTGCTCCAGAGCAACTGTCGAAGTTAAACTACCAACCTGACCATTGCTTCGTAACGTTGTTGGTTTTGTTGTGTGCATTTATTTTTTATCAAGCTAACAAAGCTAATGCACACAGAGCTTTTTTCAGTGCAATGAACAAACAATGCTAGTTTTCAAAACTACTTGGTAATAATAACGTATTAATATGATTATTGCCAAGATGAGTGGTTCTTTCTTTTTGATCGTATATCATTGCTAATCAGAATGGCAAATTTACAACTTAACACACATACACACCCACACACGACATATACTTTTTGTACAGGTTCATGCATTTGAATAAATGTTATCTTATAATTAGGGACATTATTAATATTATTATTATTATTAAAACATAATACTTTGGAATCACGGCCCATTTAAACTCTGTACTGCACACAGATATTCAAACGTCCCCTTTGTACACACTCTTGTTCATAATTTTTGTTTTCGTCCAGATCCCCTCTGAACCAAATGGGAGAAAAAAAAAACAAATCTTGGCTAATTCAGTTTTCTTGCACAGAACATTATGGCGCCAACGACCAGACATGTTAATAATGTCCTGCAAAAGAGCCAATTCATAGATTATTAGATTGTGATTGTGCTCGGCATGAAAAGCAACAAATACAGTCAAACTCTTTCTGGAAGTAACTGTTGCACCAAGACTGAAGGAAATGTTTTTGGGAGAAAATAATTCACTTTGCTTAATTCTTTTACTTTTAAATTGTAATGTTTCCAGTATAAGAGTATATATAAGAATCCCAAATAACTGTAATTTAGCAGATAATTCAACAAATAATAGTTATTAGGTTTCTATCACCTAAATACATGTTTACATAGATCATAATAGTGCACGTTGCATCTTTAAAGCAAATTTCCTTTGGGTTTATAACAACTCCTAAATGTGGGTACCTATGCCATTAAGCATGTCTCAAGACATATGTTCATTATAATTTGTATCAAAGATTCTCATTGTACCCAGGAAATTATGAAGACATTTTAAATAGTGTTTCTCTTGCTTTCTTATCTTTATAGAATACTTAAGACCAAGATTTCTTTTTGACTCTGTTCTACTTTATGTACTTTACATTCATTTACGTGCAGTTCCAAAGCAGGATGAATGTTATTGATATAACACACACACACACACACACACACACACACACACANACACACACACACACACACACACACACACACACACACACACACACACACACCATGCGACCAAAAGCTAAAACGGGACGATGGTAAATGATCTGCTGTCCCAGCTGACACTGGTTGAAGAGAATAAAGTAGAATTAAGATACAGGATGAGATGCAAACCAAATCTTTTTCTGTCTGAACGCCGAAGTGAAGCACATTATCAGTCTCAAGATATTAGAACCTGTCCATTTACCTTTAAACACACATTAGTAGTTCTTATTTTACAAATCCCCAAGAAAAATATTCCATAGTGCTACTCACTACAAGCACGAAACATCAAGAAAAAGAAGGATCGCAGGGGGAAGATCTGAGCTGTGATGGAAGACGATGGCTGCGAGCCAGTACAGCATTTGCACCTTGTGAAATCACAAGCTCATGAGTTGGTTCGCTGACTGATTGTTTTCTTGACCCAGTGCAGACGGGATGTTTTTTTACTGCGTTGTTAAAAAAGCACTTTGGTAGTTTACGGCCAAGGTAAAGGAGTCACTACGTAAGCCAATGTGTGTCTAGAGCACGTGGATGTCTGAGAGATGTGCTGGAAAGACGCTTGAAAAGATCGCTGGTGAACCGTGTGTACATTTCTCATGAGTTCACGGCAACAGATTCAGATACGTATATTGCTGTAGACGTTTGGAAGCCGCGCGTCAATTAAAGTCCTGGAAAGAAATGAAAAGAAATTAAAATAAATATAGAAATAAGTTAAACACAAAACAGTTTCACTGGTTGGACGAACAAATTAAGGATAACGTCTACGTTAGCAAGCAGAACCAGCAAGATCATGATTATACACTGTAGTTATTTAACACTAGAAAGGCCAAACTCTCACCAAACCTGATGATCTGCATGCAAGAGAGGATTCACATGATTGATTCAAATTACAGCATCAACTTAAAGAAATGTTAACATTAATCCTGCAGTGCAGTCAAGTAAAAAAAATACAAGGAATTATGGGTAAAAGGAAACAATTGCACTAGTAATCTACAAAATAAAGGCTAAATTCACGATTACATGGACCTAGTGTATGTATTTTTATATTCTTAAGTGACACTTGGAGTAAAAGTAACAGAAATGTGAATGGGGTTTGGTTTGATTCTGCACTGGTATCCGTCATCTCTTAATGTCTCCTGTGAGGAAGACAAACACAAGTATGTCAACTTTTAAAGTTTGACAGCATCACTCATCACTAAAATCTGTTTGGCCTTTCTAGTGAAACATTTATTGTTGATTTGACGACAGCGGGTCGCACCAGGTGTTTGACTTCACAAACATGGAGAGAGAACAGGAAGCTGAGGCTCGGTGGAGGAAAGAGACTCCATTACAGATTAACCCAGTCAGGGTTTTGTTTTTTTCTCCACACCTGACGACTGACAGGAAGAGGAAGATCCTGGGAAAGTTTCTTAGTCGGAGAAGAGGCTGGCGAAGGACTGTCGGAGGCTGCGGATGGTCTCGGCTTTGGCCTCGTCGTCAGTCAGGCTTCCTCTTAATGTCTCCGTGAAGGTGTTGGTCAGTGACTGGGATTTGCTGAGAAGTACACAGAAGAGTAGTTTAGTTTACTACCTTAGTAGAAAAGGATAAAGATGAAAAGTTCAATCCTGAACGTCTTTTAAAAAGGAGAAAATGTCTCATCTGACTGTGGCTCCACCTAGAATCAGCTTTGGGCAATATTCCCGCTATTTTTGAAAGAATTAAAAATCATCTTTTGCTAAACAACGTTATTGACATTTAATAATGACATCCTGTAAACATGATCTTTAGTCTGGACTTACTTTAGCTGTGGCGACTGCTTCTGGGATCCCGGCCCGGAGGAGGTGGGGATGGGACCAGGCTGGAAGGCCTGGCTGGGCGAGGTGGTGGCCGACCGGGCTCGCTGAGGTGACCCCTGGGCTGAGGAGGATGGAGAGGCAGAGGAAGAGCGGTGTCCTCCTGCAGGAGATACAACACATCTTTATAAGTGCATTATCTATTTCGCTCCACTGCATCAGTGTAGAAGCAAACTGTTGTGGCAGTGAAATGTTTTCTTACCTCGTCTGGGCTGTGTGGTCTGTTGATGCGGAGACAAACAAAGTGAGACATGTTAAAATGACTGAGGAGGTTTAGCATGTTTGTGGGTTCTGCTGTTACTTGCACGACTACTACAATAACTATAATGTAATATTTAATAATTTATTAAAATGTATTTAATGGCAGTAATCAAATGGAATATTATTATTAGAGGTGGTAGACATGGTCAAGAAATAGCAGTCAAAGTCGATGGTGCAACATAATTACACCCCCCAACATAAAAAAACGAAGACTCAAGTATTTGTATCTGAATATTTTATATTCTATTACTTCAGTTTACTTTTCCCAATTATTTTCATGTATTGTCTCATATAAGGATCTTTATACTGTACAAAAGCCTATCCATGTTTCAAGTAGTTTCCTTTAGTGCTTAAAGTATTCAAATCTTAATATAGTGAGTCTAAAGCACTGGTGATATCGATGTGAAGGTAATATTTTCTTAACATATAGTCCATTCAATGATGTAAAGGTACTATACGGTAAATTGAATATATTTATATAGAGCATCTCTAGTCTTATCAGCCACTTAAAGCCCTTTCCAGTACAAGGCACATTCACTCATGCATACAAACACTTCTATAAGCCGTGGATTCTCTATGACACACCATTCACACACGCTCTGTGGCAAATTGGGTTTCGGTATCTTGTCGTAGTGTCGTACCTTTACAGTCGAAGGCTGAGGTGTGGAGACTCCCAGCAGCACTTGGGCCATCTTGTTGATGACCAGCTCTGTGATCAGCTGTTTATCTTCCTCCACGTGTTCACCAATCAGAGGCATGGAGCTGTCCATTACCTACAGACACAGATAAAAAAGAAACAGCCTCCTGGTTAGCTGCCTGCCACTACTGAGTAAGAACCTCATCCACTAGGTGGCACTGTTGCATCTCTAATCATGAAGATCAGATTGTGTTTCGCCTGATGATGTCAGTGATAATGGACTTGGTGGTACTTTGCCAGCAGTGATGAGTCATTTTAAGAGATCACATACACACCAATGCTCCTCACAGAATGAGCTATAAGCTACACAACACTCAGCTCGCCTTCAGCACAATTTATCACCAGACACTCTGAGGGCGACACTGACATCTTGGGCTGAACCAACAAACTCCCATACTCCTCAGAAAGTCCCTTTTCCTGGAACTGTCCACCAACACCCTCTGCTCAATGAATCTGCAACAGCTAAAGTAGAAGAGTTTACAGGTTTGTAGTCAGAGGTTTGAAAACCTGTACAGGATCGGATTCTTCTCACATTTGCTTATTGGTCTTTTGAATCCTCAAATCACTTTAATCTCACATCCTGCAATGACAATAAATCACATTAATCCAGTATAAATAAAAATGTTAAGTTAAATCATTCACAGTGTTTAAAAAAAATTAAATTATAAAAATAACAACAAACTTTTTCTATCGCAATTTCTTATCATTACAGACTTAAAATAAAGATAAAAAAGGAAGATGTTAAAATAAAAGATCATATAAATACATTTGTTGTCAACCACTTGGAAAAGCTTTGACAAAAAGAGAAGTTTAAAGAGGTGATTTAAAAGAAGCTAGAGTTCAGCAGCGGGTCCCATGCTGTGGGGGCTCCGATAGCAAAAGTCTGGTCACCCTGTTATGAGGTGAGACATGGGAGTAACCAGCAGGGCTCCATCCGCAGATCTCAATGGTCGAGAGAACACCAGGCCAATAAATCTGAAGGATATTTGGGTGTAAGGCCTTAAAAGTGAGCAATGAAGTATTAAAATCAATAGGAAATTTAACAGGAGGTGAGTGTAAGGAGGCAAGCACAGGGGTGATGTGGCAGAAGGGTTTTGTATCAGCCTGAGATGGTGGAGGGAGCCCTGGTTCATAAGGTGCAGTGATCAAGATAAGGAGAAATAAAAGCAGGTCAAATGTTTTGTAAATTAAATTGGATTGAACTGATTGACCTACTCTCTATCTAATCCTGAAGATAAAATGAAATGGTATAATTTCATTCCATTTCTTCAACCGGTGGTGAAAAGGAACCACAAGTTTAATTAACATTGAGCTGCAGATAAAATGTGACTCCATCTGTAAATATTATGTTGCCCTGGGCATGACTTGGAAGAACACAGACCACATCCATTGCTGCACAAATAATAAAGCTTTAAGAAAAAAACACAACAACTTTCCCACCAACTGGAGCACACATGCACGTACACGTGTACTGCCGAACCACAGAGTACACGAGGCTCCGAGACCCGCCGTCCTCCTCCCTGAAGACCAAAACAAACAGGGGCAGCCGAGTGTGGCTGCTGGTACTGCTGGTTTGGGTGCAGATGCCTGGAGATGTTGAATGAGGCTGTTGCACCGCGCCCCAGCCACAGGCAGTAAACAAAGCGCAGGGCCATGCATGCATGTGCTGATCCCCTCGTACACAGTGTACAACAAGCAGAGCCACATTGTGCTGCAGTGAGTGTGCAGAGCTCTCATTCCAAACAAACGCTGTGCCAGCTCACTCAATGTGTTCCCCCCCCCTCTCTGTGGTTGGAGCTGTTTTTATTAGTGGCATCAGTTATATTCAATTTAAAGCACTTTATGGGTCACTCAAAAGGCGATTCAACCCTGATAGGCAAATTAAGTTGGTTATGGTTTTATTGAAATTAAAAAGACATGTGAGGTACATGCTTATATGGCAGAGCCAGAGCCTGTAGTTGATAATGTTTCACCCTTGAATGTTTCCATAGATCAGCTGCTGTTCTTGGGCCTCAGTATGTTAAACACCATTGGGAATATTAGAGGATCATGCAGAACAACCCGGGCTTAATAATCGTTTAACTGATGGTTGAACTATAATTTGGAAAAACCCATTGGAAGCTTAAAGGTGACATCCTCAGATGTCTTGCTTTGTCTGACTAAGACCTTTACAGTGTCAATTTTAACACAATCTAAAATAGAGAAATAGTCATTTTTACAAGAAGCTGGATCAAAACAATGTTTATTTCACTACTTCCTCGGATTCAGCTGTAGAACCACCCAATCAACAGTTCGCCACATGCATTCCGCAATAAGCTACTGTCCAATCACAGATTATAAGATGTCACAAGGCATGACAAAGTGCATGACATTCTACTGAGAGCTCCGTTTCCAAAACCAGAAAATACACGAGCAGAGAGAATGGATTGACACCGTGTCTATCTGCTTCAATATCAACCACGAATGTAGGTTAGATAGAGCAGAGAAAATCTGCCAGCAATAGTATTCATCTTATTCGTCTGCAAAATGGACGACGAGATATGAGACATCTGCTCGGGCTGAAGTTTTTTTTAATTATCAAGAATTTGAATCTTAAATCTGTCAGCGTGATCCTGTGAACTCACTGGATTTGTCGCTTGACAGGTACAGACACAGTCACAAAGGGAAGTGCAGCTCAGTGAATGCTTGATTAAAAGAAGCACTTACAACTAAAATGATATTGTACATTACAGTGTAGCACTAATAGCTTTGTTCAAACATGGCCGAGCAAGCCGTCCTCCACCCAACTCCATAAGGTTGTTGCATGAGGAAATGTTCAATGACACCTGATTGTTTCTTACATTCTCGAATGCCATGAGCCCTGGGAATGTGAAGCATTGAAATATAAACATTTGTTCCAAATCCTCATGTACAAGGGTTTTGCAGATTAGTTTGAGATCTCACACACTCGGTTCATATGGTCCTACCACGTATGGGAGAACCCTTTAAAGCCCTTTTCTGCGTGTAGCCACCTTCTTGGCTAGGATTGGCGGCGAGGTAGGGCGTGGCACAGTGTTTTGGCCAGCTGAGTCATTACCACAGGGGACTGACCGCCAGGCTCCACTTCAAATGGTGTGTGGTGGCAAGCAGGGACGGGATCCACCCTGCTGATTTATTGGGAAACAGAGTCATCCTGCAGGAGACTGGAGCTGCCACTGGCCTTTTCAGCAGTGGAACAGAGAGGTGTTATTCTGTACTTTTATTGAGCTACACAGTGTTCTGTCTGGACAATGAACCCCACTGTACAGGAGGGTTCAGACAGCACAACATGTGGCATGTGCTCATTGAAAATGATGGTGCAGGGATGGGCAGGGGGGTGATGCTTTCCTGGGAAAATAGCTTAAGCTTTAAGATAGTGGCGCTGGTGCTCCTCCCTCTTGCCAGCTTCATGATTTTTATGATTCACTCAAAGTTAAAACCAGTATCTGAGTTTATATGATTCAGCTGTGGGTCCTTAAACTCTTATCTTGTTTTACCGCACTGTCTCCACATCTTTCAAATATTGTCCAATAAATATGTTATTAAATGATAGAATGTCATGTCATGAGCGCTGTCTCAAAACCATCATTTCTTGTCACATTAGTTGTGGTTATTTAGAAAAATGCCCATTCAGTTTTTGCTGAGTCACTGAGCCACTATCTATCACTTAGGCCCCTTAATTCCTTCCTGTTAAGTGTCAGAATGTCACTATTGCCAAACCTGTCAAGTCACTTCTGCTGTGATGTTTTTTTTTTATGTTTACTTTAACAAAAATATTGTTTACTCCACTAAAAATAGAAACATTCTCAAATAAAATACTATTACAAGTAAAAATTGTGCTGAATTGTAGTTAAGTAGACGTAAAGAATTAGCAAAATGTACTTATGGTGTCAAAAGTTAATATATGTGACAGGATATCCCCTATTAGAATGTTTTTTCCAGCGCATTTTATTAGATTTCTTATTTTCGGTAATTCATTTATTGTGTGTCTCCACTTCCTCCCACTATCCAGAAATGAAGCCTAAACATCCCAGATACAAACACTAGAGCAAGAGTCGAAGTAGTAGCGGATACATGCGACCGATCCAGAGTCAGCTGCAACTGTCTATCATGACGAGAATTCATCCCATGTGGACATGAAAGTCGATTTGATGACAATCCATACAGGGTGATTGTGTTAGATATGTCAGATTGCTGTGATGTGTTTCAGAATTATAACAGATAACATCTTGCCATTGTTATGTAGTTAAATCGCCTCCTAATGTTATGTTGCATGAAGTCATGTCAGTATTCTCCATCAATCCATCAATCCATACTGTATATCCTCTGAGGGTCACAGGGGGCTGGGGCCAATCCCAGCTGATGACACCGGATGAGAGGAGGGGCACACCCTAGACAGATGTCAGTCAATTACAGTGCATCACACAATCACATCCAGAAACAAACAACCATCCCCACTACGTCAGTTGTTTTCGATGTGTAATTGTATCACTGGGTCGTGTTGCTGTTATTTTTAGCCTTGTCATCTTGATTTTCTATTGTCACATGTCATATTGTGTAAGACTGTCATGTCAGTTGACATTAGCTCTGACTCTGTGCTTCCTGTGTCATGGTGTTGTGGGAGATCATGTCACACCATCCTTCTCTGGACACAGTCTCACAAAGCGTGAGTTTGTAAACTGAAGTGCCAGTGAGCAGCTCATTACTTTTCATTAGGGAGAGGTGTCATGGCTGATTTCTTTGTCAGAAACAACCAAAACATTCTCACTGTGATGGACCGACGGCTCGTCCTTGTTGCGGTTAATTAAATTCCATCGTGCCGAAGAATTGGGGAGACGGCGAGATAGAGGGGATGAGGAGGAAGTCGCTTGTCAGGGAACATTGTTACTCGACTGTGTCACTGGTCTCTCTGTCCAAACAGTCCAGCGCTAAGACAACACATCTCTGGGGAGCTGGTAGATATTTCCTGAGATAGTTTGAGTTTAAAACGGGGGGGTTATTTTCCTACTGCTGACCTCACCCAGGGCAGAGATAGAAGAAAGTGTGATGTCATGTTCTCAGCTTAAAAATGGGCATGTCAGACTTCTAGGCTGTTGCCTGAGCTCTGAGGACACTGTGTGAAAACAAAACTGACTGGAGATGATACATTTGATCCCCTGCTTATAACCCTTAAAGATAACTCCTGTGTGATATCTAAATCAGCCAATGTTCACCGTTCTACTAAGAACAGCAAAACTTACACAAGTATACATAAATGAATGAATGAAAGACAAAAAGAATAACTAATCCGGCTTTAGACTGATTAAGCCAGTCTATTGCCACATGGACATAGAGAGAAATTAAAGTAGAAATACAGAAATAAATGAAAGAATAAATGTTGAAATAAATACCTGTAGAAATACAGAAATAAATAAATAAAAGTAGAAATATAGAAATACAGAAATGAAAAAATAATTGAGGAAATACAGAAACAGCCATTTACATTGAAAACTGTATTTATTTTTCCATTCATTTATGTATCTATCTATTTCTGCTCTTTTTGCTCCTTATATTCCACTGCTTCATCTACGCCCATGCCACTTACTGATTTCCTGTTTTGCAGAACCCCACGCAGCATGACAGTTTTTTTAATGGAGAATGTGATAGCAGCAGTGAGAGCTCTTACATTTGAGAGAAACAATTCGTGCCCCTCAGTCTAAACTCAGCTGTTTTGTTGCTGTATTGTGTTCTCGTCTATTTCAGGCTCCTGCAGGTGTAGAGATTGCCGACTGCTTTTTCCATTATGCTTTTCTTCCTGTATGATTGTTGAAACAGCACCTCTAAAAGGAACATTTTGTTCCTTTTTCTGATGGATATCTTCATAACCAAAGACAGATGTAATAAAGTTTTTCTGTTTTGTTATCAAACAGCTTGAAAAATGCAGAGATAACCCTCATGTTAAAATCAAACCTATATGAACAGTTTGTTCACCTCTTGGCTGCATTGGTGGAGAGGTAGGGTACGTCCAGGACAGGTCACCAGGCTAACACACCAAGACAAACAGCCATTCACGGTCAATTTAGAGTCTCCAGTCAACCAAACCTCAATCATACAAACTCCACACAGGAGGGATCAAACCAAGAACCTTCTTTAGGTGAGGCGACAGCAGCTAACCACTGTTCCACCATGTCACCCAAAGACATGGTGAAATTGTGGACTGAACAATGAGCTGAAAGATGCAGAAAGATTAATTTTTTTAGTTTGAACAACACCTTTTCATATTATACAGTCATTATATTAACTGTCAATATGAGCTGGGTGATGATTCCCTGAAGGTTCACTATAATGAGCGATACCTCTTTATCATGTGATGTGAAAGACCACTGAAAACATACATTCATGTATGTGTGGCTGAAGAGGGAACTAAAATGTAAACTGTTCCCAAACCCCAAACGTTTGAGAGAAGGTCAGGTTGCGCCACTACAGTTTTATTTGTCTATAAACTTCAAACTACAAGTCCAATGTCAAACTTTACCGGAGGCTTGAAATAAACAGGCGGTCATAGTAGACACCGTGAGTCAGCTGTTGACTCCTAATGTTGTTTTCATTCCGCTGCCTGTGTTTTGTCTACAGACAAATCATTCTCTCAAGGCTCTGATGATCAAGTCTCGATACACCCTTCCCTGTTTACTTTCACCATGATATGAAAAGTTTTATCAGAGGAGAGGGAGACTAATTCCAAGGTAACGTTTACACTGAAATAGTGTTTTAACCATGATAGATGGTCAGCAAGTTTTCAAACGCGCACCCGGTGCATAATATATTCTGATAGTCTAAATCATCATCATTAGGCCTCAGACTTGGGTTGGGGGTTATGCTGAAAGCAGACTGACCTCAATGATATAGTCGTTGCCATCTTTTCCGTGGACAGCCTTCACTGCACACACATCTAGGCCACCAAACATCTCAGCGCAGGAGTCCACCCACAAGCGATATCTGGAACACAGTGACACAAATAACTGATAAGCCGGTCATTAAATCTAATATTCTCTGGAGTTATCATGAAGGATGGGTTGGACCTCACAGCACTCACAGATACAAATAAACTATAATTCTTTGATAAACCTAATAAAATACTTTTTGCAGGACATCCACATTGAACAACAGAGTATTAGGGCCACAATAAAGAAAAAAATGTACAGATTACAGACAGAGATTTTCAGAATAATGTTGTATTTAAAGTTGTATTTGAGAATAAAGTCGTAATATTCCAAGAATGAGTGCTCCATCTTAGCATTGTTAGTGTTACTGTATAAAAGCTGCGAGTCTGTTGAAACAATACACATCACTGAGTCACTGCTCACCGGTCAGTCATAGCGATCTGTTCCAACATGGCCGACCCTGTGTTCGCCTTCCAGTTGCCAGAAATGGACGTTCTCCTGCAGATCAAACAGAACCATCAGGAAATATGCAACTTTCCACCAAGAGTTAGTCACTCACTACGTGCTGCATGAGAATGCTCCTGGACGAAACAATCAGTGATGATAACTGCCATCCACACCTCCATTATGTTTGAGTCACAGTCATTTCAAATGCTTTCATGGTGAGACCAGGGGCAAACCAGATGAGATAAGGCTTGGCTACTCTGTTCCTCTGTTTTGGGTCAAATCATTTCTTAGATACAGAGACTTGAAAGGGCGTTGACTTATATTCTGTGTTTCTACTACGCTCGACTAAGTTTACAGAAAAAGGCCTCTAGCTTCCAGATGGGAGTGAGGTTTTGAAGAGGGAGTGGGCCTGAGAATAAAGCAGCACTCTGTGAAATACATAATCATAATAAAAGCTGATTACAGAACATGGCTTTTTGACAGGCTCAACTTATAAAAGCCCAGTGATGATACTGACTGATGGATGCTGGCTTCTGATGACTGTGAACTACATACATTTCCATTTATTCCTAACAGCACATGACAATCTAAGTGATAAAAGTCATAGCAGTGTAGAAAACACACAAGTACATTGCAGCAGCTAATATGATTTTCCAGCAAACGATTCTATTGGTTGGGAAATTATGACAGACATGATGCACAAAAAGCATAATTTTTTTTCTTTCACGTTTTTATCCTGACCAATGAGCCAGATTATGACACACCTAATTTGACTGTATAACTATAAACATATACAGTCAAACATTTGATGGAACCATTGGCTCATACTTGAAGCACCCCAGCGTGTCCTGGTACCCACTTCAGGAGCGAATGGTATAAATATAATGAAATACCAGTTTTAGAGGAGAATTGACAGGCACACAGAATATACATAAGACACTTTTATTGAGTATCTGTCCAGTATCAACCATGGCTACACATGAACTATGTCACCAAGTGAATGTGCCAGGTCAGTGTCACTTTGTCCATCATTTCCTTGAGTAGACAGCACTCATATGTGAAGAAGATTTAAGAGAGTGAAAGTCAACATTCATTTGTGACTTTCTAATGCTTTAAAATGTTATTTCTGTGTTTTCTGGTCCCATTGAAATGTATGTGTTTAAATGCTGGCATAATAAAGTTTGAGCGTAGTGTAGCAACTTGTACAGCGTGTTGCCAGTCGGAGTAAACTAAACTAAAAAGGGACTAAACACACGTCTTTTGCTGAGTGTCCACTCTGGGGATAGCACTATCTGATTGGCCTCATCACCACAAATGCAACATGTATGAATTCTCGTTAGTAATGAGTCAGTTCCTGTGGCTTTATAGTTCCTGGAAATACTGGGTTGAAAATGAAAATGAAAGAAAATTTCTGATGTAAAATCGCCAGAACGACTTGAGATACATCAGCTTTACAGGCAGCTTTTTAATGGTATGAGTCACCATGTGAACTGGTCGAACACTACACAGTGTATGGTGCGAGTGGTGTGAAATGTCTTACATGTAAGCCTTGTAGTTGTTACCGATCTTCTGGATGCGGATGTCGTATTTGGACAGAACGTAGGGCTCGGTGGTGACGTAGGTCCCGGCCAGAGCCACCACACTGGTGATGTCCTGGAAGTCCTGTTGGTTTTCAACTTTGATCTGTGGTAGAGAAAACATTTGTTGGTTAGTGGCAAATTACAAAGCGAGTCGTCAAAGCCGGCAGCGGCTGCTTAGAATCCCACAGGAATTTAACACTTTGTACACAGGCGGGATAATGAGCGCTCCCTGGACGGAAACATTGCCGAGGGCAGCTTTGAACTACATCACTTCTATTAAGTGAATCGTGTGCACACAAATGAGAGGAAATGACGCAGTAGCAACACATCAGCATCAACACTTTTACATAAAACTCGATGGTGTTTTCCACTTTTACATAATGAAAGAACATCGAGATGTGTCATCGTAACATAGGACGGAAAGTGAATAAGTGACTCTATATCAACTCTATAGCTGTGTCCCAATTCAGGGGCTGCATCCTTCGTCTACTGCATTCGAAGACCAAGCGGCTGACTAGGCTGTCACAATTTTAAGGCTTCCCCAAATGCGGCCAACAAATGTGTCCTTCTGATTAATGAACCGGGCTCAACCGGGTGGATCTTTGCTGGCCCATCATATCCCAGGATTCATTGCACTTCAGTGAAACTGTTTCTCAAAGAGGCAACGGTGGCAAAAAACAATGTGAAAATGACGGGAGAATGTATTTTAAACGTAAGTACTCAGCTAACTGTAGACATGTTAAAAAAACATGCTTTCAACATTTTTTATCAACTGCAGAACATTTTCGTCCATAGCTATGTTGCTAGGCGACATCTAGTCTGGATGGGACCGCTGAATTGAGACACAGCTTATTTCATATCTGCTTACTACAGTTCCCAGACATCACCTGACATTAAAACAGCTTGAATCTGAATTCATCTATCAATCAAATTCAATCAAATTGTGTTTGAATAGCCAATATTTACAAATTACAATTTTTCTCATAAGGCTTAACAAGGTCTGACATCATCTGTCCCTCAACAAGAGTAAGAAAAACTACCAAAAAGAGGGTTGAAAAGCACAAATATCACCTTTCATCTACATGTGTCAATTTGTGAGGTCCACGAAATTGTGTTCATGTTTATGAGGTTTTCGGTTTATTGCGTTTTCACACATAAAAAAACCCCAAATAACCACTGAAAAAGAAATACAAATTGTTTGGGTGGAACAAAGAATCACAAGGGGCTTTTAAATTGATGCAACCGTCACCAAAAACGAACAAGAGAAAAGACGGTAGGAAAACTAATAAAGCAAAACTGAGCAAGAGAATGGCGCCAAAACCATAAAAAGTAGTTTTAAATGTTTAAAAGATGGGCGGGCAACTTTGATGGTTCCTGTGGTCCAATAAACAATGTTGCCACTTTGATGGGTAATAACATTAATATGCTTGTTGAAATCCACATATGAAGCCGTTCTAATGAAACTAAATCCATTAGTCTCTCAAATGAGGTCAGGAGGCAGACTAGCAAATATCTTTGCTTTTTTAGGCGATAAAGTCAGATGAACAGACTTTAAGTATTAAGAATGGTACTCATTAGAGCGTATACCCCCGCCAAGGCCTAACAGTCCCCTTAAATTCAATCAACCTGCACCAAATTGCTCATACTCATTGATATCAGTCCCCCAAAATAGACCTGATTTTTCCATCAGGATCCATGAATCATTCCTTGGGAAATCAGAGAGAACATCAAAAGTCAAAAATCTAATCAAAAATATGTCCAGACCAGATTTTTCTTGACACATGTCTCATCATAGTACCAAGTGGAAATTCATTTAGTAGTTTTTGTGTAATCCTGCTAAAGACCCAACCAATGCAGGGGTGAAAACATAAACATAACCCTCTTGGTGGAGTTAAAAAACATTTCTGTTCAAGTACACACTCTGAGGCCAGAGGGACTATGGATGTCAGAGTGATTAAATGTGACTTCAGAGGAAAGAGAAACATGGAGATCCAACGTTGTGTGTTCTGTTTGCAGCAAATGTTAGTGAATCATTGTTCATTGACTTTATAAATGACATGTAGATATGTGTACCTATGTACTTGATGGTTATTTCAAATATGTGTACTCAGGTTACTCCTTTAATATTGAGTGTTGGCAACAGACTGAGTAAAACGTTGCAGCTAAGCACTGAACTTTGCTTGTTTACCATCAGTGGATGAAGAGTGACTGTGACTCACAGTTCACATCATGGCTCCAGAGGTAGAACCCGATAGTTAGCAGCAGGTCCAGCACTGAGCTGTGCGCATTCAAACTCATCCAGAGTATGACGCAATTCATTTGAGAAACTAAACAAACCGTAGTGATGCAAACAGAGAGTAAAAAGGTAAACCAGAGAAGGTGAAACACTGGCATGAAGATGAAGAACTGCCTCTGGTGGAAAAACTCATTTCACACTGGTCAGTGTCCAGACTAAATGACGTACAAGGCAGAATACAAAGCCTGAATGGTCTTAAAAGACGTCATGAAACTGGGTGGAAATCTCTCTGCTGTTATGTCAGTTATATCTGTCAAATGAAAGAGACCCATTGAGAAGCCTCATTTATATAATACGTATACTCCATTAGGATATGAATATATAATATTAGTGTCGTTTTTAGCTTTTGTTAATGACCTAAGGAAGTGAATGTAACAAACTTTCATCCCTTAAGTTCACAAAAGGGATATCATGTAACTACAGGTGATGTATGAAGATGTTAGCAAGATCATTACACATGCTCACTGTGAATTCTCCGGAGGTTTTCCTGCTGTATTCTAAAATGGGCTCAATCGCACATTTTGCCAGGGGTCAGAAATTGTTTGGAGCAAGTGACTCTGATATTTGTGCTGTCACATAGAACCCCTGCGGAAAATATCAGGAAAACGTCTGAAGTTCAGGGCACGTCTGAAAGCAGCTTTAGAAATGAAATGACACTTACACAGTTATTAGAGAATTTGCTTAGATTAGCTACCGTTGGCAAAGATAAGCTACTGGCAGAACGCTGCCCCCTCTACCTTTTTAGAAATTCATCATATTTGTTTCAGTGCAAAATGTAGGAAGGATATCACAGTTTCCTCATTTATCTGCACAGTTGTTACGACAATGGCTCCAAATGAATGTAGTAATGATCGTAAGTGCCACATGTAACCACTTTAATCTATGGTTGGTGTGTTATTATAGGCAATATATATATATATAATAAGTGTTTGGTCAAGTAAATGGGGTGTTGCTAATTAGTAGTATTTCTAAATGTGGCACGCTAATTCACTTTCTGTGCTCCACTTACAGATGCTTTACAGGTTTCTGTCAAAAGCAAACAAAACAGCAATGGCCCAAATCCCACATATTTGTGTCTGTTCTCAGGGCTCTGTGAGGTCTGAGGGGTTAAATGAGGTCCTGCTCTTCAAGAGTCAGCCAAGTTCCCCTCCAGTCTTATGGGAAATTCTATAGCATGTCTGGCTCCCAAACAGGAAACCAAGCCCGTCCAGGCAGACAAGGGCAAAGAGACATATAGGAAGTGCTTTACCCTGTGAATTCAAATGACTGGTGGGTGAAAGAGACTCATGTGTGTTTAGTTTGTCTGCATTTGTCGGTCCGTCAGACTGTTGCGTGAAACAGTAAAACTGCTGCTGCCGTGTACTCAGACCTCAACAGTGTGCTCCTCTGCCTCTGTGCCATCAGATACCTGATCATACTGTGATTGGACCATCATAACTGATTTTAAAGATCAGAGACAGACAGCACCGGTCTGTAGAAACTAGGACAGAACCAGCGCTTTCTGGTCTCTTGCCTCCTCTTTAAACCTCAGACCAGTCAAAGCAGTTGTGATAGTATCGTGTGTTTGATTTGCACGACTGGAAGCTAGACAAATCTGATGCTGCTTTCAGATATGCACTGGACTCCGCAGCTCCTCCACATTTTCTCCGGAGTAGGTGCATGTGTGAATGGAAATGTAGTCAGGGTCTGTAAGCATGATCTCGACAGCAGAGTTAATACGTCACTTCCTGTCTCTGCCTGTCTCTGCCTGCTGCGCCCGGCTGCTCCACCTCTCGCCTGAATAATACAGAGTTGCATGAATGAAGTTGTGCATGTGTGAAAGGCAAACTGTGTAAAACACAGTATCCAACTCTCTGGATTTTCCCCATAGGTCATGTCTAAAAACGGCTTGAGTTTGTGGCTGTAATGTGTGAACGTTGGGTATGTTAAGTTGTGAACTTGTTTTCAACAACTATTTGTTATAAGTGTGATGCAGAAGACTTTTCACTATCGGTGAGACGTTCTCTCTCTTGTCGTCCAGGCTTATGAAAACCCCTGATTCTATGCATCCTCACCTCAAACCCTATTGTTTCAGGTAAAGGAGTTTAAGTTATGCTCAATGTTAAGGTTACTCTTATAGTCTGTGTATATTAATTTACTCACCTTTCCCATGCCAGCGTAGGCGTGCCCCATCTTGACCACCACAGGGTAGGAAGGAGTTGTAACCTGCAGAGAAGGACAACAGCATATTATTAGCTGGTGCGATAACCTCAGTCTCTCTATACCTGGGGGTGGGGATGGTGTTTGTATTTACTTTCCTGGCAACCAAATAGCATTCCAATACAAACTGAGCTACGCTGATTGCAAAAGTAGACAAGCTGCAATTCCTGGGCCACAATCAAGGAGGTGAAGGTTAAATATACTGTTTATTTACATTTTCTGTTTAAATCACATTTGTAGATTTTTTGTGCAATTCCTCGTGTCCACGTCGTTTTGTTTTCGCGTCCTATGTCCTGTTTATTATACCATCTCTGCCCATCAATGTTCAATGTACAGAAATGTATTTCCTTTCAGGATGGATAGAGACGCCACTGCAGCCATGGCACAAAGGGACAAATACTGCAGGTGGGAGTAAAAGCGCATTGGGTATGTTGATTATATGATAATGAATATATCCACTGAAAATAAATAAATGTATATGAATGTGATAACCAACTCTCCCACAATTATCTAACTATTTTATTCAGACACAGAGGTTGCCATAGGAGTTAACATACTTAGAGCTGACTTGCATACAGACACAGAGTTATGTGGTCCGTAAAAACTACAACAATGAGAATCTTCATTTGTCACATTTCAAATTGAGTACATTGTTAACATAAAAACGTTGTTATGAGGGATCAAATGTGCTGTAAGTTTGCTTTAAGGACAGAGAAGATCAGGAATTGTTTATGCGAACATTTCGTCCAACTTGAGGATTCAGAACTTTACATGGTGTTCTAAATATACAGCCAGACCAACATGTGGTAAACACCACATTAAGACACAACCAAAAGTAGAAAAATGTCTTTCCTCTGCAGCTGATTTGGATTTGTACATGAAGTGTCCTGAGCTGTATCCTTGTAAAGAAACAGCCTCCATGCCATATACCACTGAACGTAAAGCTGCCAGAGTTGGAATATAGGAAGAATGTTGGGTTTGTTAAACGTAAGAACGAGGTTCTGGGAAGCTGGGTGGAAGATCACAGTTCATTGGCAATGATTTGGACAAACCCATGTTATTTCTTAGAGCTTGCATAAGTGAAGAGGATGAAACAGCAATAGATTACATCAAACTTCTGCTGTTCAGACGCCCCTTGATAAATCTACTGATATGATTGTAAGTGGAATTTAATCTCAAGAGGGAAGTAGTTCTTCAGCAGCAATGCCAGGTTACATAAGGGGCCTTTAAATCAGGTTTACAGCAATAATTCTGGATAATAAACAACACAATTCTCATGACTTATTGACTTTTAAAGATTCTAAACATAATCATCCAAACTTTTAATGGAAGTCTATTTCTGGGTTTCAGGAATGTTTTAAACTGAGAATGTGTTTTTGCATGTTGCATTTTTACAAAGGCATGAAGGTGTAAGAGGATGCAAGTGATCATTGCACCTCAAGGTGAGGCATACAATTTAATAAATACAGACACAGAAGATGTTCCCCCCCTCAGGCACGAGGCCAGATCATGCCTGGAGAAGTTCTGTCCCGCAAGAAGAAGGGAGGCAACATCAAAACAGCTGCAATCACTTCATCCAAACCCTCCCTGAAACTGACAGGGCCACACATCCTAATGTTGCTGTCAGCTTGTTTGGTGCAGAGCCATAAACAGACATGGAGCTGCTCAAGGGTGTGAACGCTGCCTCTGTTGACAGGTTCTAACAGAGCAGCCCTGGCCGACATGCTGCCAAGATAAAGTGTGCTTAATTGTCTCCATTATCACTTCACAAGTGCCAGAACACAGAGGGGAGTTGAGACTGTATCAAGAATTCACAAACCATTTTCAAGAGTCGTGTGTATGAAGTGTTAGTGGAGTGAGGGAAATGCAAATTGGACAATTATAAACATAAAATTGGACAATAAAGACACATAAAACAAGAAGTGTGTTCTTGTGCAATGTCTTAAAAGGCCAACTGGCCTGTTCATGAGCTCATGAACTTAAACTATGGTTCAACTCAAATAATACCAACAAAACTAGATATCTGTGGCCAGAGGTGAAAAGAGATTTGCAGAGAGACATATTTCTGTTGTTTTTAGGACTGAAATGCAACGTACAAGTTTAAACATATAATCTTAAAGACTTTCAAGAAATCAATCCCTGTTTGATATGATTTATGGTAATTTGTCAGCTATAACAATTCAGTTTAATTCTTTTTTTTTTTTAATAGCACAGAGCTGAAATCATCAAGTGCTGACTTTCAGTTTGATGGGTGTTAAGCAAGGCTGGCCCTCAGGACCTCAGATCTCCAGAGACTTACAGCATGATATACTGCCCCTCATATCTCTGTCTATTTTACAGTGTTATTGTGCTATTAAACTTCATAATTAGTAGCAATTAAGTTGGTTTAATAGTTTACAACCAAACAAGATCATAATCTATGTGTTGTAATCTTTTAAAAATAGTGTGATATGAGGTTGGTCACAAGTTTCAAACCTCTGCAGCGATTACCTGTGTGCGTCACATGATGATTGATAAGATGCCTGAGGTTCAGTGAGTATCTGAGGAGAGGCCAGCCGCAACACAGTGTCTGTCTGTCTGTCTGTGTGGAGAGAGAGTGGAAGGGGCTGCAGCCACCCACTCTGTCTGAACATGTTCTTTCCAGCCATTCCCATCAGCGTGGCAATGACGGCAGACACTAAACATGTTGGGGAGAGCTGACCACATCCTTTGCCCCTGACGAAACTGGACCATCAGACACAGACATGCACTCACCGGTGTTTTCTCCACTGATTCTCACACCACAAAAATGCACCGTCACCTTTACTGATGTTGCATTATCAGGGAAAGATTAAAGAAATATTCAAATGCCTTTGTTTACGTAAGTTTCTACTTCGACTGTACTATGGTACTTACCTCCGATAACACTTTATTCACTAAGCAGTTACAAAGAGGGAAAAATGCTCTTTGAGCTTCCAAACCTGGCAGCTTTGGATTAACAAGCTTGTGAGCTATGGAGATTATGCCCGTTGTGTTTTTTCAAAAGACATATTTGTATGATGAACGGGTTAATAAGGGTTAAAGAACGTTCAGTTGATGTTGATTACTACTAAATATAAGTTTTAATATTTTAGTAGTTTATTTTCCCTATTAGTTTCCCCTGTTTTCTTTGTGGCACAGCATAATACCTCTTTTTCAGCCAAATAGAAGGTGTACGCCGGATTTTCTAAAAACTAAAAAGGTGATTGACTCCTTTGTCAGTAGAGGAGTTTGACTCTCTGAGTGCTCACTCACCTCACTTTCTTGCCAAATTAGCAAGTTCACCCGGCTGTAACGTTTCCATCACTGCCGCTCAGAGTCTGAGCTGATAAAAACCTGTGTCTACTGAGTAGTGAATACCCATTGCAGACAAAAGTCAGATGTTTGAGCATTTGTGGGTTTTTTGATCAATGGAAAAGGGGCTTAAGGGAACTTTTTGTGTCAATGCAGTGAACTGTGTCTGTAAGCTTTTCCTCAGACATAGAGGCCATTGTAGAAGAGTCTTTATTTTACAGTAATTAATATTCTTTATGAGATTGTTTTACAAAACAAGATTATGTCCCTGAAAACCATCTTGGTGGCCGTTTGAGCCTGTGAGCCGTCAGATGTGGAACCTCTGGTTTAAAACTTCAGCTTTCCGTTTCATTGCAGCTGCGTAAGCGCCACTCGGCCTTTTGTTCCCAGCAGAAGTCTGTAAAAGGCATCTAGTGTGGTAAAGACGTTAAGAAGTCACATGCTAAAAAAGCTAATTATATGGTGGGTGATTTCACCAGTCTAGGTTTTATTTCGTAACACAGGCTCACTTCATTTACAGCAAATGTACCAGACGACCAGGCCTGGCACATGGTGGAAATACTTCGGGGAAGCCCATCCACCCCCGCAGACATCCCCTCCTTTTGGCCATAAAAGCTTGTTGGAGTGAGTCACACAGGATTGTCGCTCAGGTCAGTGTCTGAGGTGAATCATGCGTCCCTAAAATCAAAACACCTCCATGTGACATTCCGATGCTAAAAAACCTTTGCAGTCGACTTAAAGTTTCCAAATCCCACTGTGGAAATTTTAAGTGTGAGAGCAGGACTGAATCCACTGGTGACATGTTTGGAGGTCCAAACAGTGTGACGTCCTTTAGACTCACAAATTAAACAAAACACAAATAAATCCATCCCTACTTTATAAACTAGTCCAGCACTTGTCAAACTGTGAGTTTGTGGGCTAATATACACAATCAATGATTATAGCATCAAAGCAGTGTTTGGCTACTTGGGGGCATGGAGCCACTTGCAAACACTTTATCTAAAGTTTGGAAGGTAATCAAACAAACGTCTTTTGCGTTACACTGAATTACTAAATCAAATCAAAGACTGAAATATAGTCATGTAGTCATGATTTAAGAAGTGTGTACTTCTAAACAGAATGCCAACTTCTGATAAATAACCCTCCTAGTCCTGAAGGAGTCTGATAATACAGGACCATATAAACTGTATTATTGCCTACTTTTAATTTATATAGTACAATAAAATAATGTAAAAGTCCACTATAGTATCAAACAAAAAGCCAACCATATAAGGGTCTCATATTTTATCCAAGGAAAACCTGTATTGAGTGTTGGACGTAAACTTCTCCTCGAGACCACATGCATCATCCAACAAAACACATGGTGCATCAATCCAGCATTTATGATCTCTTAATTTTTTATTATGGCCGCTCGAATCTGCCACATCAAGGAGAAGACGTAAGGCACGATGGCTTGGGCAGACGACGAGGGCAGGGGACCCCGACCCAAAATACCTTTCGAGAGTCCAACCACAGTGGGACCAAAGACGGCATGCATACATCAAACCCTGCCTGTGGATTATTGTGAGCCCATGGAGACCAGTAATGTGTATCGTGCATGTCCCTGCTAAGTCGCAGACTGAATCCATACACCTGAGCGGAATGGATACTGCTGCTTTTCAGTGTGTGTGTGTGTGTGTGTGTGTGTGTGTGTG